AGAAGGATTCTCGCGTTAAACATAAAGGTTGTTATGAATTTGATGCTAAATGTTGTAGTAAAAGAGTATGTTACAGCATGTTAAACGTCGGGGTTTCTTTAGGATTTAACTGTTAAATGTTTTCTATGATAGAGTATGTTATAGTATGTTAAATGTAAGAGTTTTAGGATTTAACTGTTAAATGTTTTTTATGGTAGAGTATGTTATAGTATGTTAAATGTAAGGGTTTCTTAGGATTTAACTGTTAAATGTTTTTCTATGGTAGAGTATGTTATAGTATGTTAAAATGTAAGGGTTTCTAGGATTTAACTGTTAAATGTTTTTCTATGATAGAGTATGTTATAGTATGTTAAATGTAAGAGTTTCTTAGGATTTAACTGTTAAATGTTTTCTAAGTGAGTATGTTATAGTATGTTAAATGTTAGGTATATGATGGATTTTAATGTTAAATATGGTAGTAAGGTAGAGTATGCTGTGGTATGTTGCGCGTTAAGGTATGTTATTGATTTTAATGGTGAATGTTATGGTATGACATGTATGTAAAATATATTAGACGCTATGGTATGTTAGGATTTAACTGTCAAATGCTATAGTTTAGGTGCTGTGCAACCATTCTCATGGGAGCGAGAGGGCAATGGAATTTTGCCATGCTGGATGAGATTTGCATTGTAAATAAGGAAAATCCTTTGTTAAAATCATTCAACATGGCGGCAAATCATTTTATGTTGCTAATCATCGTCCTGCTGCTTGTGATGACAAAAGCATCAAGCATGCGAGTTCTTTCGTAGGTTCCTAAGGTACAAATTGTGGACACTGTGCAACTGTTTCATCTACCGCAACAGAGATTTATATATCTTTACGTTTCCTAGCTTGGTACTTTTAGGTAAGGGTCAAAAGCATGCTTCATGCACTCTTACGTTCTGATTAATTTGTGTTGGTGTTAAATCTAATACATAAGGTTTGCAAAACGAACTTTCGAAGATTTTTGTCTGCTATTTATGCGTTTGTATCTTTTTAAAACTCCATTATCTTTCTAGGTATAACTATTCAGTCGAGCTCGCATGATAGTACTGAAGACGCATGTACGGCTCTTAGACTCTACCAGCGCTTCAAAGAACTCATGCAAAAAGGGGACACCGAGTTTCATGGCACATTGAACCGACTGTATGAGACGGGGAGAAGCTTGAGCTGGCAAGTTGAAGATTGAGGTATAGAATTAAGATTGAATTAGCGGATTAGGATGATGCAAGTTGAGGTATAGGATTAGTCATTCCGATGATTTTAGTCGCTGGTTGATAACGTAGACAGTAAATTCAACTCATTCGTGTGTTACCAATCGTCAAACGTACTTAATTAAAGTTGGCGAATAAAGTTATTTACCATCCAGTTACACTGGCGGTCCTAAACAACTGCTCAAAAATTATCATTACGACCAAGGAAAGGAGTGTGTTAAGTCTATGCATGGAAACGATCGACTGAACGAAATACATACGAGTTTTGTATTGTGTAGTATTTGGTAGGCTTTACTCTGACCATGTAAGTTCTCTGTATTGGGGTTTTTATTTTGTCTGGTTAGAATTTCTCCCAAGTAGTGTGGACACTGTCCCATCGTTCATTCTCTAGATTTTTGTTCTAAAGCCTTGTTTCAACATGCCACTGACATTTTAACCCACTTCACTAGTTATTTGCTTTCTAACCCACTTCACTAGTTATTTTATTTCTAACCCACTTCACTAGTTATTTTGCTTTTTGTTCTAAAGCCTTGTTTCAACATGCCACTGACATTTCTAACCCACTTCACTAGTTATTTTTCTTTTCAGAAATGTCAACACCGTCCAACGCGGCATTCGACATCGATTCTTGACTTTTGATACTTAATTCTGTAACTTGTCCACATTCTTGTTATCCACTGAATAACCCTTCCTTGAAGTAAATGATGTTGGATAAATTATCAATTCGTGTTTGTAGATGTAGATCGTCCATGTTAGTAGAGTTTTGACTGTCAACATCAACAACGAAAACTAAATAAAAGCTAAAGGCCAATTTCCATTACGGTCGCTTTTGCCACTGCGCGCAGAGCGCACACTTTTGATCATTCGTACGCGCGTTCAAGCAATCTCCATTAAACTTTTTGCACGCTCTGATATAAAAACTAGTCGAAGACCGCAGCTTTAAATTGAAGACTGTTGATAATGATATTATTGAGATTTATATACCGCAGGCTTTGTTTCAAGAAACATGAGAAAGTATTATCCCTGAAATCTTTTGCCATTAGTTTCATATCATTAATTTCAGTTTGTCGAAAAATTCCAAATTTTATCATGTCACAACGTTTCTATTTTGTGTAAATTTTATGATGTACTATATAAAAAAAACATAGTGATGAAAATTATACAACACACTCCTTTCCGATAAAAATGGCCACAAAAGTTTTTATAGCAAAATAAATTCTTTCGCCCTAGGTTTTACTTCTGAGTGTTGGAGATAACCCCAAACGAAGCACTAGATTTATTAAATATTATACACAAAGAAACAGGGAATTTTCATAAAAACAGCACAGCTAACAAATTTGTTTTGACAAGAAGAAAATAATCACGTTTTGTGTGTTAATTTAGTATTGTGTGGTAACAGTGTATTTTCAAGTCATTGTATTTGGAAATTAAAAACAGTCATTTCTTTAAAGTTGGCGGCGGACTGTCGCGCTAACTCCCGAAAAAGTTTAGCTACCCTTCCAAACAAAGCCGATGTGTGTTACGTATATGCGTCATGAGAGGTTTACAAAGGAAATTGATCACTGAAGAACGTGATCATGGTTGAAATGTTCCAAGTTCTATTAATCCTATAAAAATATGATTATTATTAAATTTTTAACCAAAAACATGGCTGGTAGCTGTTCATATATCAGTAAATGGTTTTCTCTTCGCTGCCTGTTTAACAATGGGTTATAAATATATTTGTTGTGATATAAATTTCAACTAGCTCTAGGATATGATGATTATTGAATGCGTTAGAAGTAATGAACAAACGAATAAATGAAACAATGAAATACACATGGCTAATTCATTTGCGTTATCATGGTAATGTCCTTGAGCATTTAAGTTTACGTCTTCTTCGCCAAATAGCAACTCCTTAAACTGTATATAGATTATGAAAATATTTCCAAAATATTCCTTGCACATCGCAGTGAGAGTGTTGATATTATAATGAAAGTTTTACGATGGTATTGAATATATTTTTGGCCAGTCGGGAATGCGCTAATTTATTCAGGCTTCGAGGCCAAACTGCATGCATGGATAGTTGCCCTAAATGTGGTTAAATCAAAGTGGTGTTAAAGAGATGCACATCATATGTGATTGTAGTGATACGATATATTTGTTGCTCTCCTATGTACTCACTTGTTTTATATTTTCTTCATTTTTCACAGTTTAAGTTGGTTTAATATAAGATACACAAAGTTTAATGTTTTTCCCAAGATGAACAAGAAACGATTTGCATTTTTGCATTCCATTACAAAATTATGCACGCAACACACATGAAGCTGTTTCAATATTTTTCTTTTGTGTGAGAAATACTTCTTTGTATATCTTAGATATTCTCTATGTATTGTTATAAGTTAGATACACGTTTTAGCTTCTAAATTATTGGCGAGAACGCAACGATAAAAGCAATAAAAATACCTCGACCACTTATCTCTTAGGAAACTATAAAATTTTAATAATATTCGTTTACGTAGCTACAAAACACTTGAACCATAGCATTATAACATAGAGAACTAAATTTCAATTCTACAGTTAGTCAATCTAACTGCTTCTTTGACAAAGAGTAAAATGGTCAAGTTTGTAAGTTGCTTTTACGCAACTATTTCTGTATTTGCTGCTGTTTCTATAACTTATGCCGACGTTAAATTCCGTTTTTCGACAATCTATGGTGATCATATGGTGTTGCAAAAGCCCCAAACGGGCTATATCGTGGGGTTATTGGTGAAATTGGTGAAAGAGTGGGTGCTGAGGCTTAGTAAGAAATCGTATTATACACACGTCGCTGCAAGACAAGAAGGTTTTTATTGTTATTTCTTTCTATAAGGTTTACAGCTATGTAGCAAATGTAGGAATTAGGTGAAATTACATAAAACGACAATTTTAAGTTTAAAATACACCAAAAATTAATGTCATTGATCGAAAATTTATAACTAACAGAGACTTATCTATCGATGGAAACCATTCGCTTTTTAACAAATCTTCATTTTATACGACGTATATTACCCGTTGATATATTGTTTGAAATGAAATATGAACAAACACAACAGTGTGCTGCAATTTATGCTATTAAGCTTGAAAATTGGTAATCGAAGCATTTAATATATAAAATGAAAATTTCTCCGGATTGTTGTGACATTATTTTTTCCGGCTCGGTGCCTCGAGCCTTCATCTGATGAATATCTATTTATATCGGAGCATCTGGCTTATATGCTTTTATAATTCTACATTTTCCAGTGAATATGTGATGGATCATGCTCTACCTAAAACTGTTTTTACCACCAATCAGTAATAATATGTGAACGTATCGCGTCAAGAAACGACGAAGTCTCGTTATGATACTGATGAACTGCAGAAGACAAAGAATTATAACAATATTAAGAATCCAATTCTTCAAAGCATTTAAAGTATTCGTTAATAACCTTAATTGCATTTATTTATTGGTAATCAAACAAAATTTAAATGAGGCATCACTTTTTTTTAAAATTGAGAAAGTTGAGAGGACTTAATTAACCAAACTGATTCATCGATTCACATTTTTAAAATTTTGACATACTCCTGAACTATATGCTTTTAGAAAATGTTTTGTATTCGTACATTGTGCTTAACTGGTAACGTGCACTATACACTATGACTGTTACTATGGTAATCTTTACATAGGAAACAAAGAAGTTGGAGTATGGCAAGTTGTGTTACAACCAATGATGGCTGGAGGTCCATATCGTATTACTGCGTATTCACGTGAAAAAGTCTAAAAAATATAACATTGGATGATGTTTTGTTTGGAGATATTTGGCTTTGCAGTGGTCAGAGCAATATGCAGTATACACTGGACGATGTGAGTTTTTCATTTCAATGTCTAGTTGACGTCATCTAACCTGAAACTAGCAATATTAGGAGACTGCAGTTTAGACTTTTGCTTTTACTTCAGTTTATTGAATTACAAGCGATGTGCAGGCCAGTAGTGTTATTTGTTGGGAAAATCACAAACTTGTAATGCGTTTGATTAAAAACACATTGTAGAGTAAAAGGCAACAATGACAACGTTGGATTGATTGTTTCTGAGATATATTTTATAAGAATGCAGAGAAAATTTATAATGGATAGGGTAGGTTTCTTAGAATAGGAATTGGAGAACAGAGTAGTGACTCATATAAAACATTGGTGACAGTGGGTTGGGTTTGAGGACAGGGTTGGCTTGTTGGATTTTGGGTTTGGGCTAAGAAAAATAGTTGTGATGCAAATATATTCCCAGATGTCACGTGAGCTGTACCCATGTTAGTTATATATCTACAAAGCATTATAAATTTTCAGGGTTTTTTAAAGTATCATCAGATACGTTTTCCTTTTTTGTTTACGAGTATGAAAAGTTTTGATTTTGAATTAAATAATTATAAAAATTACGAAAGTTTGTCTTGTTTTTCAAGCGTTATCATTTTTGTTGGCTTAATATTTTATATACCACTCGTAAAATTACATTTTATCATCTCAAAGAATTGAATGGTTGGTTTGAGATTTTAATAATTTTATAAAATTCTCGATAATATTTTCTTCACCTACAGTTTTCAAAGCATTGTCAAAATACCAGCTCATTACAGGTTTTTATCTAGATTTTATAATTTTTTTCTTTATTTAGTCGGAACATGGAGATAAAGCAATCAATGAATCGATAAACTATCCCAACATACGTGTATTTACTTCTGGCCTTGATTGCTCTATGACTCCTCGGAGGGAGTTAAATAGCATTGTCTTGCCTTGGTCCGTTCCTTCACCAGGTATTCATTATGCATTTGTGAAATAGACAATTGAAATTTATGAAGAGATAATTGAAGTGAATGGAAGAGTCAGGTTGGTACTCTGAACTGGCTGCTCAATTTCAACGATGATTTTCAACGCTGTTATTGTATATAAAATAAAATTAGTTGTGGGAAGTAGCTTTTAAAAGAATGTTTTATGATCCAAATAGGACCACGGTATATGCCTTTTAAATATTTTGAAATTTAATATTATTTACATGCTAGATATTTAATAACAATTTTTGATGACTCACGAAGAACTCGATAAACAAATATTTTCAAAGAAATACTGTAAAATACCTATTGCCTAATGTCCAATTTGTACTATAAGTTTTGCTGTACTTAAACATTTTCGTACCTAAAAATACTTTTTTGCAATCCCAAAGCAGCGTTTAGTATACGTGAGTTGTCAACACGATTGTTTCATATACTTTGTAAAGTTGGAATGACGTCATTTTAAGATAATAATTTATTGTTTGTGTTACCAGAAACTTTAAATGGGGCCTGATGGGATATTATGGAGTTATTTCTCTGCTGTATGTTGGTATTATGGAGTGCAGCTGTATAAGACGTTGAACTACCCAATTGGCTTAATTGGCACCAGTTTTAGTGGGAGCGCTGTAGAATCATGGTCTTCACCAGATGCCCTCACACAATGTGGATGGACTGGGAATGCTTTACCTTCTGCACCAATATTGTACGTCTAATGACATATTCATATGTTTTATCCTGCTCTAAATAGTAGCTTCATAAGAAGATAGAGATTTTGACCTCGTCAGTTAGTTCATTTAAAAATTCCAATACAGATTTTGCTTTACTGAGAAAACAACCATTTCTAAAACATGCATTTCTTTAGCTCTGATTCACCACGCACATCACACGATTTGTGTGGTTTGCGCTCTGATTCACCACGCACGTTTGTTGATCTGGTCTCTTAATCTTTGTACTTATGAACATTGTCAGAACAACTGCATTCGTGTGAAACTCAAGATATACAAAACGATGAGAAAAAAATATCGAATTATGTGGGGTTTTTTTTTATTTGTTTTGGCCTTATGCAGTATGTGAAAAAATCACTCGTGCATGTTTATACGTAATCACACTCAAAGCTCTACTTTTACTATATGAATGAAATTTTTGTCATCACAACTTTGCGCAATGGTAAGGAGTGGTGCAAATTTATGTGTGTTGCTTAACTGTTATTAGAAGGCATTTTTGGATGTTTCCAAAAGTTTTGGCTACCATTGTGTGTCTAACATTTTCTAGAGCTTTATTTACACTAAATAAATCAATACTTTCCAGATTTTATGATAACGATTGCTAAAATCGTAAAAGAAGAAAAGTACTTTTTCTCAAAACCGTTTGCGAGTCCACCTCACGAGTTTTTTCAATGTATTTGAAATATTGTTAAGTCATTAACTTTCAAAAAATTAATTTTCTGAAGATACAGTGAACGAAAACAATGAAAATTTAGATAGAATAAAGGTCGGCCTAAAGTACCATTGGTGCGTTTTTTTCTCATTACATTTCTTGTTCACATTTTCTGTCGCTATATTGAATCTAAGTTAGGCTTTGCAGCAATTTCAAAAAAAATTCGAACTTTGGCAAAAATCTAAATCTAAGACAAGCATTTCTCAAGACATCAAAGTACTTAAAAGAAATAATATGAAAAAATAAAAGCAAGCCATGCTTTGTGCATTTCTAAATATTAAATCCTCATTAAAAAAGCGAAGAGAACAAAAAAAACCCAAATTTTCTTCGTGTATGTACAATTTCTTTTCTGTTAACATGGCATATTGAAACGAAAACGTCTAAAAATTCGACACGTTTTAAGACTTATTGAGATCTTCATTTTGTATTCAAATCCGTTGAATGAATGCCACATGTCCTTAGATGTATGTTGCATTTGTTCTAACGGACTAGACTACAGAATAGAGATCACATTTATAATCGATTGATCATAAATTTTTTAATTGACTTATCCCAAAAGCTCTAATTATCCGCCATGATAGTCGTTTTTGGACACAGTAAACGAGTTTATCAAACTTAATTTGCTAATTAGTCATCAAAGTGATATAAATGCATGTCACATGATCAAGCATATTTTATTGAGACATTCACGTCTTCTACAATGACTAGAAGTTCAGATATGAACAAACGGCTTGGCGATAACAGTTTTAGCGCAGTTCATCTGCGGATACCACCTTTTTGTCTCCGTGAAGGACATATGCAAATTTCTCGATACGTAACAGCACTGTCCCATAATATGGCAGTGTTTTCTAGTTCAGCAACTTGTTCAATTAATGTTCTCCGTCTTTCAACATGGCTTTCAAACACAAACTTTCCGTTCTTAAAGTAGCTGGTGACATGATCATTTGCTAAAAATGTGGAGACAAATCCCTGTGTATTTTTGAATTGTAGCCACCTTGTCCAATATTTGTGAAAATAAATACTATTTTAAAATTTTTGTGTTGATATGATGGAAAATTTCATTAAAGCGCAAAATCAATCAATATACATTTAGAGATAATGTTTGCTTTGCGTGTTTTTTTAGTATTCCTGAATTTGGTAACGTGGACATCATTATCTTCAATAATTATAGTTGTATGTGGAATGCCATGATTGTGCCGTTTCTTAATATGACCATCTACGGTTCCATCTTTTATCAAGGAGAGACAAATGCTTTAGGTAGAAAGTTAGATCTTTTGCCATATGAATGTAGTTTTCCTGCCATGATAAATGATTGGAGAGCAAAGTGGCACATTTCTACACAACATAACACTGACCCACAGTTTCCTTTTGGCTTTGTACAGGTAGGTTTCTTGACATCTAAACTAATCATTGTGTACTTTTTCAACTATTAACTAATAATTGTTTTATACCTGTAAATGTATAGCTGTCAGCTATTAGTCAAAGTATAGGAATTGATCAATATTACTTTGCCGCGGTACGTTGGGAACAGACAGCAGAGAAGGGCTACGCCCAATGCACAACTAAAAACTTTTATGGCTGTAACAATGGACTTGGGAAATCCTTTCTCTCCATACTTCAGCATCCATCCCACTGACAAAGAAAATGTTGGCTATCGCTTGGGACTATCGGGCCTTTCAATAGCTTATGGTGAACAACAAACAGAATGACACATGTGACGCCATGAATTTTGACCCCCTTCTTTTCCGTTTAACTTAATTCCACAGTTTAAGAATAAATTTGATATACAAATTAACATTTTCTTTTGAGTAGAAGTTAGTTAAATGTACTGCTGAATTCGGACCTAATGTGCAAACGTTTCAGTTAATAAATTGTGACGTCATAAGCTAAACACATTTTTACGAACTATACATATATATGGCCGACACCCCATTCCTCTTCGTTTTTCTTTTTTCTTGCTTGGAAAATGATTCTTACTTAATTATTTTTTTCGATGTGCTAAAATAAGTATTTTAGAAACAGACATGGCTGGAAATATAATCTTTTATAGATGATGTTTTGTCAAAAACGTTGTTGTTTAAGATTATATTTGAAATAACGAAGCAATGGCATGACGCTGTATCAATGCGATTCATTTTGGTATTTTTTGTCGTTAATCCCATGATTTTTGAATTAATGGCTTAAACAAAAATCTACAGGAAAATTTCATTAAACTCGATCTTTTTTTAGTCTTAGGGCTTGGTTGAGGTGCTTTTTATGTCTTTACAGAAGTAACAGATTAGTGTCATTAGGGTGTAGCAACAAGAAATATCCTGAATTACATTCGTAATAAAGAGAATGGGAATTTCAACAATACAATGTCAGCAGATGTAAAGAATGCAGGGTTAATATTAAAAGATCTCTTGAAGTTATTACTTGAATATATGTCAGATGTAAAAGTTATCTAAAAAAATAATAGCTGTAGCCTACGTAAGTTTCATTCTTTAGGTTTTGTTTCGATCATAATATAGTTGTCTACTATTGCTACTACATGATTGATATAGAACTAGACCTAAATAATACATAACAACTAGTAGATGCTTAAAATAGTCTTGATTTAGTTTATGTGCTACTCGATGACTTCTAATTTTAATGATTAAAATATCAATTTTGACACGATACAAAGTTACAGACTATCCATACCGTGAAGATTCATAAAAACTTTTCCTTAACAATCAATCTTAATTTTTATTTGTCCCAGAATTTGCAAAATTTGACTAATTTTATCTGCCAAAGAAGGTTGCTTTTCTTCTCGCCATGATAGAAGAATGTTTAGCTTATGACGTCACAAGTTAATAAAATGGCGTTTTGAGACTTTGCACGGACGTGACAACAATGGTAACTTTAGAAGATGATAACTTTTGTCAAAAAGTTAAATTTTATTTCTGATTTAAATTATAAATTCCAGTTGGCTATTTCTTTTATTTAGAATAAAGTAGGTGGTCAAAATTCGTTGCATGTGCACTTTAATAGCTCATGATGAATAGGAGCACAATAGAGCACGCGCTCAATGTATCGCCACGCTAATATATGTACACGGATTTTTCGTGAAAAACAAGCATACTCCAAAATTTGCCCGGTTACTTCATATGACAAACTTTTTTATTAACTTCCTCATAGGTAAATTGTAATGGTAATTGGACAGCGTCACCAATTGTATACAATAGCAGAAGATCCGTGTTCCTAATGGCAAGTTGTGATCCAGACAAGGTCAGATATGCTTGGTCGGACTATCCCTGTGAGTCACTGAAGTGTGCTGTTTACAGTGGAGGACTACCAGCTCCACCATTTATTATGGATGGTCCTTTTTCTTGAAATGAAAACTTAAATGACTGTTAAGACGTATTATCAACTTTCTTTGTGTATCATTCATTTTTTATTCGTTACTGTTGGTCTTTTTTTAAATAAAAACTGAAAAAATTATTCTTGTTCTTTAAAATTTAATAATCATTTCAAATAGACGACAATATTTTTCAGTTTTATATTTTTAATCACAGTCATGTTCCGACTTAAGTACAAGCTATCTTCAGTGCGAATTGATACGTTATTTACAATGTTGTTTATATAATATAGAGACATGATGCAAATAAGACGATATTCAATTAAGATGTTTTGCTGTGTTTGCACTGGCTTATGCAATACATAAACGTATTTCGGACGAAGGTCAACTATTGAATTGCATTTTACGTCTTATCTTAGTATTGTATTACGTTTTACCTTGCTGTCAGGCAATAGTTTAATGTAGAATTATCTACGCTTGTAAGCCCGACTCAGGGCGGATCTAGGCCATGGCGAAAGTGACTTGAGCCACGGTCAGAATTCTGCCACTTAAGTTTTTCCAGGGTTGACTTTTTCATGATTAAAAATTTTGCTCAAATACAGCAAAATTCGATCAAAAGCAAAATTGAATGAATTTTGTAATTTTTGTCAAAAATTTGTGTTAACAGAACAAAAACTTCAAATTAAACGTCTTGTTAAAATAGTATTATCATCCAGTTAAAATCTGAACTGTAAAATCACCGAAAGCGTCTCGAATCTTGCCGAATACGCCATGAATATGCTCAGAATATGTTCGTAAATTCGAGCATGCAATCTCAGAATGAAGAGCCACGGTCAGCGTTCAAAAAATTTCGCAATAGTTGCTAAATATAGTAACCTTTAGCCACGGTGCAGCGTTGCAAGCCAATCACAGGGAACGTTTTGGTCATGTGCGCAACGGTGAGCCACGGTGAATGTATTTTGATTGCGCAATAAATACAAGTCATATGAAATTGCTCGATTCTTGTCGACTTGAAAAACGCTACTTCTAGTTCTACTCAGCGATTAGGATCAATGGAAACTTCTAAAAAAGACCGATGTTCTTGAAAAGCTCGTCCAAACCTTTCAGCAAGAGAACGCTTGCGAAATTATTTCTGGTGAATTGTCTAACTTGAGACAACACTGTGTTAAAATAATCAACGAGGAAAGGCTTCGTCGTATAAATTCTACTGGCGATATTATGCTACGAACTTGTTCATTTTCAAAACTGCAGTTCCCTGAAAGCCAAATTGAAAGATCAGGACCCAATGTCCCTGTTAGGTAAGAATTTACATGTATTGGGGTATTAATTTATATTTTTATTTACGTTTGACATCTTGGCCTGAAATATATGATCAATCCGTTAATTTTCAGCTATTCATATTTAGTGTATCATGTAAAATATATGTCTAAAGCTGTCATTATTTTGCATACTCAGTCTGTCTAATGTACGGCCTACATAATTTTAATTGTTACTGTCTGTTAAATAAAATGTTTTACTTCAATATTAGTCAAAGCTAGTCTTTTTAAAATTTAACCCAATCAATAATGTATTATCCTTGTATTCCTGGCATTTTATGTTATCCCCTGGTTAAAGAAACTAACATATCATTTTGAATAACTGTTACTTTCTTTCGCGATTTATATAGAATATTGATGCTATAGTAGATGGAATCAATAAGTCGTCTGAATCCTGTTCGACATGCCTATACTAGTTCCAAATCTTAGACTACCTGCCTGTGACTTTGACTTTATCATGATGTTACCAAATTAACACAAAGAGAAAATAACTTTCTAAATTTCAATATTATTAGTCTATCTTTAACAGTATTGGTTACCCTTATTTATTCTAATGTCAGAGTCAGTCTAGCAGATTTGTTTCCAGGTATAACTTGGTATAACAAAGCAGCCATTGATACTTAAATACTAATTTTTCTTTTAGTACTTTAGCCAATGGGAATTTTCTGTTCAATGCATGTTCTATTGCATTAGTTGGGAATGAGACTCTCTCTATTTACTTGAGATTCCTAACTAGTGTTGAAATGTTTGAGAATGCAAAATACTATTCTACCCATCCTCTCATCGAGTCCCACCATAAAATGGTGTGTTCACTTCACTTAAAAATGCCTTTGCCATGTGTATATGCGATGCAGCTCTAACCTCTTTAGAAAATGCGAATGAAATTGCAGCAGTTTTGCAAGAAGCAGTGGAAAGAGCGAATAATTACACCTTTTCACCCTCGATGTGTATGTTTGCTTTGTCCACAGTAATCCAGTGTGCTATTCAGTCATACTACCCAATTACTAATGATGCTGAAGTGAAAGAAAATTGGGATTCGTTGGCTAAAATGTTCAATTGTACAATATATCCAAGAGATGTTGTTGATGGGAGTGCAATTGACTATGTCCATATCTTTCGTTGTGCTGCGATGCCACCTTCTTATTTGGTAGATCAAAAAATCCCATCCACCAAAAATCATTTTGTTACTTTGTTTTAGAGGACCACCTTTGAACATTGCTTTTAATTAATCTTGCCATCTTTACCATTGTTGGATAAACATCTTTGTCGCTGTTGGAAGAAGATCACCTTTGAACATTGTTTTATTAATCTTGCCAACTTTACGATTATTGGATAAACATCTTTGCTGTTGTTGGAAGAAGATCACCTTTTGACTATGGAAAGATGTTTGGCTAATTTTCTGATTTTGAGCTGACACTTAATCAAATTACACCATGAAAATATACGAAACCATTGATGTTTTTTACGATCGATATTCCTTCATTAAAATTTCTTAAGACAAGTAACAAGTTCTGCATAAAAACAGAAGACGCGTCGTTGTTTGAGAGCGACAGCGTTTCGATGTTGGATTAAACTATAATTTCCTGAAAGACGTGATACATTAATGGACCTTCGTCCTTCGGACAAGAAAAATTAAGATAATGGTAGTTTTTTCTCCATTTTGCAAAAAGGTTTAGCAAAAATGTAGGATGTTGCAGGAAATTGGGGATTGGGACATCAATCAAAACCGGTTTTTAAGCAGGTTTCCTGGTTTTTCGCGTGTCACTTATGGCCCACAATCCTTTGCGCACCCTCTGCTATAAAGCTATGTGATGTCATCAATTCATCGTCATTTGCGATTGACTTGCTTTGTGCACAGATTCGTACTACTAAAAAAAGTGAAAATTACTTCATTAGCGAACTAAAATATATTGCAATGGATAATGTTCAATTAAACGACATCTTTATTTACGAAGAAACTTCATTAGAAGTTGTTGAACAACTTGTGGCCACTGGTCATTACGGATCAGCGAAGAATATGGAAGAAATTTTGGACATTGCAAAAAGGGCCTCTATTGCAAAACGTCGTATTGAACTGCTCGAAAGATCATTTTACGACCAGAGTGCAGGTACTCTCAAAATATCTTTTAATTTTTGGGAAAATTTTTTTTTCGTGGTAGTAAAAAATTTTTTTTGTTTATTTTGGTTGCTAAGAAACTTGGATACTTTAGCCGAGATAATTAATTTGTTGCCACGCTACCATGTGCGCGCGCATCACATTTGATCATTGATTGGGAAAATTATAATTGGCTTGTTGCTATGCAACGACTTCATGAGACCCAAGATTGCGACCATGGAATTAGATTAAGTGAGGCGGGATTGAGCGAGATTAGTTGATGTGGATTATGCATAATATGCGTAAAATTATGCAAATTTTTAGTGTTGCTAGGTTACAATAAAACATTTATCGCGAACTGGAATTCAAAACTTTAAATGACAGATTTGAATGTTCAAAGAGTTATTTCAAATCAAAACAAAAAACAAAATCTTTAAAAACGTGGGGAAGAAGACGGCGAATTATTGTGTGAAAAAAATATTCATGGATGATCTTAGATTTTCAATTCAACGATGATTCGCTAGCTCACGCGGCGAAAAATATCAATCAAAATGTTCGTCTTAATGGCGAAAAACATTTTCAATAAAATTAAAGATTTTCTTCGCTCAATGAAAAGCTTTTGAAAACGGAATTTGCTCACTTTTGTTCATTTTCTTTTCTTTTAGAAGTTGAATATTTAGCATTATGCTGTGAAGACTTTGGCGTTGGCACAACTGTTGAAGAAAGTTCAGTTAAAGTTGAACAAAATGAAGCAACAGCAGTCAACAAGTCCATTGAAGGAACCACAGCTGTCATTCAACAACAAGCGACTGAAAACGCCATTTCAATCTTGTATGATGAAATAGTTGCAGAAGTTGTTGATGAAATGGTAAAGCAGGTTGACTTGGTCAATATTGCATTGAAGGACTTTGCTGAGAACTTGGTTGTGCTTGGTGATGATGATGAGCCAGATCAACTTACTGTTGGTAGTGGAGACATCACTGAAACACAAACGTGTTTGTGTTTGAATGATGTCTCCACTACCGTAGATGGTGGTGAGCAGATTTTCCAAGCTCAGCATCCTGTTGATGATGGTAAAATCACCAAAGACCTATTTACTCAAGTTGTTGGTGAAATCAAAAAAGGCGTATCTACTCTAGCTGTTTGTGAAATCACTGAAGACTTACCTACTCAAGTTGTTTGTGAAATCAGCGAAGACTTACCTACTGAAGTTGATGGTAAAATCACCAAAGACTTATCTACTCTAGTTGTTGGTGAAATCACTGAAGACTTATCCACTCTAGTTGATGTTGAAGTCACCAAAGACTTACCTACTCTAGTTGATGGTGAAATCACTGAAGACTTATCTACTCAAGTTGTTGGTGAAATTACTGAAGACTTACCTACTTTAGTTGATGGTGAAATCACTGAAGACTTACTTACTCAAGTTGATGTTGAAATCACTGAAGACTTACCTACTCAAGTTGTTGGTGAAATCACTGAAGACTTACCTACTCAAGTTGTTGGTGAAATCACCAAAGACTTATGCATTCAAGTTGATGGTGAAATCACCGAAGACTTACCTACTCAAGTTGTTGGTGAAATCACTGAAGACTTACCTACTCAAGTTGTTGGTGAAATCACCAAAGATTTATCTACTCAAGTTGATGGTGAAATTACCAAAGATTTATCTACTGAAGTTGTTGGTGAAATCACTGAAGATTTACCTGCTCAAGTTGTTGGTGAAATCACTGAAGACTTACCTACTCAAGTTGATAATGAAATCAGCAAAGACTTACCTACTCAAGTTGATAATGAAATCAGCAAAGACTTACCAACTACTATTGTTAGTGAAATCACAAAAGACCCAAGTACTGTTGGAGATAACGAGATTATTCAAGCCCATCTTACTGTAGATGATGCTGACCAAGGTGAATGCCTAATTAAAAATGATCTTCTAGTTAATGTTCATGATAAGCATTCAAAATCCACCTCAGTTGATGATTGTGCTCAAGAAATCAAAATTAATCAGATATATTCCAAAGAAGATAATTGTCACCATAGCATCAGATGTGGAAATCTGAACGAAAATGTTACTGAATCACTTCATGACAATCTTTCACTGACAACACCATCAAATGGCAGAAAGTTGAAGAAAAAGAAGGGGATTTTTTCGAAGATTATTTTTTTGCTGTTTCAAGAGTAATGAAACAAGCGACTAAAAAAATTCATAGATGAACAATATTTTATATATATATTCTTGTAAATAGTGAGTAAATCAAAGATAATAAAAGTTTTTTACGTAAGATTGTAAATATGTAATTAATGAAATAAATAAAATTATTTACTTACGATATTTTAGTTGTTTGTTTGTTTGAAAACTTGGAGTCTCAAGCCACAACAAAACACGTCTGATGATGATTATCAAATAAAGCGTTGCTTTGAGGGAACTAGGTTCGAATTATGAAAACTAGCTGTCGTTAGATTATAATTTTCAAAAAAAAAAAAATTTATTAAGGAAAGCAGTGACGTAGCTAGCGATCATGCTGGTCATGCCAATGAACTCTAATACACTTAGAAGGCTAACTCAATATATACATGCCTAGACTTGTCTGAAACCATTTAGAAGCTGATATATGCCGCTTCGCGTGTATCTCGCGTGGACTGTTTTATTTGCGTGACGGATTGTTTTGCAAAAACTGCTAACTTGTGAATAGAATGCTAGCCTAAATGTTTTATTTTTTTCAAAACCGTTAGCAAAATTTGGTTATTAATGTGTTAAAATGCATTGTGGACGTTCCAAAACATGTTTTGTATACGTAACGCTGTATTATATAAAACATTAAAGTGAGAACTTGCTTCGAAATATGAATTTCTTATTTGTCGTCGAAAGACCAAAAATTTAAGATAAAACTGATAACAGGTAGTCTGTGTCTTTGAATGCTGTGCAAAATACACACAATCCACTTAATATAACATGTTCCATAACAATTTTATTGCTTTTAAAGTTAGACTTGCTTTGTAAGAATTTCACATGCTCTTTTTGTAATGTGTGAAAGTGATGATTTGAAATTTTGAACTGTGGGTGATTGTTGGTTCTTGTCATTTACTTCTCCCACTTCTTAAAACTGGTGGAAGATTTGACGTGCATCCATATTTGTGTATTGAGCATTTTATTAGCAAGTTCATGCTTATAAATAAATAGCCAAGTGTACACTATGATAAGTATTGCTAATATAACCAGCTCTACATAAATGCCAAAAGCAACCCTCATACTCAGTGGTTGAATCAGGGTTTTAAAATGATTATAAAGCAAGCAAAGTTATATCATGTATCAAATTTTTATTGTATATCATATTGATTGTAAAATTAGTTTCTTCTTGTAATACAGATGATGATAAATGTATATGTAATATACTAAATTTTAGGATGTGTGTTTAAAATATTTGGTCATATTTGTGAAAATATATGATGATTCTATAATATTAGACTAATAATCTTTTTCATACTTGTATTACAGTACAATTTTTACTTAAGTGTTTCAAAAGTTATGAATATGGAGTGTCATTTGTGTTTTGTCTTTTTAAGTGGGTATTGACCCTTTTGACTCTTTAATGGTGCAATTAATAATAACACAATAATATGGCATAACAGTTTTTTAAAACGAACTCAAAATATTTTTGCTAACTTTTGAAATATTTTGCAGTGTTTTTCTTTTGTTTACGCTCTAAACTTTCAAAAGGACAGGGCGAGCTAATTTTGCTCTGAAACACAAAAATTACCCAAAAACAGCGTTTTTTGCACTGGCTGCTTCATTTTCAAAGATTGAAACAATATTATAAGGATAGATAAGTGTGTTTTACATCCTTTTATTGAAAAAAAAACGAGGGGTGTCAGTTTTGTATTCAAGTTATAAGGCATGTTTTAACGTGCCAAAACAAAGTTCGCTTTTCCTCCTTCTAGAAAGAAGCTTAAACATGTACAAATGTCGTTCAAACTTGTTTTTTATAAAAGTCCAAACATTGTTTAAGGTTTTTTGACAGTAAGCTGGCTCGAAGACCACTGTTTTGTGCAAAAAAATCAGGCAAGTTCGAAATGATGTATTTCGCCTCCGTACCCTCAATGGCGGCGATCATGCAGGCTTCAATGATGGCGGCCAAGTTAGCCTTCCAGTTGTTGTAGAGTTCATTGGTATTGCATTACGTTTTACCTTGCTGCCTTTATTCTACGCTTATACGCCCGACTTGGTCATGCTCTTAATAATCAACAAGTAACATATTTTATAGTGAAATATTTGCTAATCTGATCGTATAAGAGCATCTGAGCATGCTCAAACGCGACAATTTACGTCAACTGGTCATGCTGATTTTTCAAGGCATGACTAAACTTAATCCCGCGAGTAATTTTCTTTATGTGCGAGATTCGTGTTTGTAGTTCATGTACATTCAAAACATTACAAAACACTACGTACTATCTTTTTAATCCATCATTTATTTCCATATATATATATGCTGCTGAAGCAGATATCATGGGTTATTTGCCGTGAAAGCTTTTTTTTGCTTGATAATCTGGCTACTCTGGCTATCATCGTAAACCGAAGGCCGATGCCGAAATTGTAATCAACATTGTGTGTTCGAAGCTTTCGAGAGAGTTGATACACAAAGAAAGATAGTCTTTATGGAAGAGCAAAGTCAAGATAGCATCGCAAGGTCAGTGATTTTGCTGGCCCTGCCTATTGTTCCTGGGATTCGAGGATTTCTCTTCACGTCATGGACGATTAAATTTAAGAAACTCAAGACCAATTCGTACATGGTAACTTGTAAATTTGTAAACTTGTAAACTTGTAATGATACTTCACTACGTGCAAAGACTTTGGCTCTGGCTTGATGTTAACTCTCTTATGTTACAATCACAACGTAAAGACATTCAACTTTAAAATAAAATGAAAGAGGTAAGGGAAAATAGAGCAATCCTCAGAAGATTAACTGCTGTTTTATATTCGAACAGATATAATTGTATTGGTCATGACTAATCAAATGATAGCATAAATAGAGAATTTTAAAGAGCTTCCTGAGAGCTTTGCTATAATTGATTTTGTCTTGAGAAGGTATTTGCATCATAGGCTTGATTGGATGCATGTTCTGCTAATGTGTCACCAGACATGTTAAATGATTTGATTTGTTGACTTGATTTGATCAGAGAAGATAAAATTTTGAAGACGATAGATGATTGCTCTTTGTGATTATTCAGCTTGATGAAACAATTGATGTTTCTACTAAAAAGCAATTAAGTATTATTCACATGAATAAGATGAGAAGTATCATTGAAAAGCGGCTTAGATTTGCAGCTATCAGTTGGAAAACAACTGCAACTGCTATTTCAGCTGTATCATCTGTTTGTGCAATAAGTGCCTCTGAGGTTTCCATGTTTATTTAACTTACCTTTTGCTAATGCTGGTATAACAGTTGCAGTTTTATTACAAGTTCCATATGTAAATTCAAGTTGCATTTCAATGATACTTCACTATTTCTCCATTTAAACAATCATACTTAATTGCTCTTTGTTGGAAACATCAGTTGTCTTATCAACTTGAATACATACAAAAGTGAATTATCCATCACTTTTAAAATTTGACTATCTTATCAAGACAACCAAATAAACTCTTTTACATATCTTGAGTTTGCTCATGTTGTTCATTGTGCTGTCCATAACCTTACTCTTGTATTGTGGCAAACTGCAACCTCAATTTTACTTGTGAATGTTTTCTTTGTTAATGTTTGTGCTTTCCAATTTTTTCCAAACAATGCTCCAAAGAAAAGGCTTTTCTTACTTCCCTCATAAGTAATTAAGTTTTCTTATCCTGGTGATACAAGATGGTGTTATAAAGCTCATATCATTAATGCTGCATGATAAATGTCAGAAAGATTCATCTTTTTTTATTTATTTCATTATCTAAAAACTACCTAATAATCTAACTCCTGTTCAGACAATAAACTTTGTTTTATTCATTTTTTATATAATTGTTAGTTTGCCTTCCCCATCATAAAAGTTACATAGTTTGTCAACATAGATAATTGTTTGTAATCTTAAAGAGCAAGAGTGAATTACTTGTAGTACTAATTTTAGTTAAGGTAGATATTGAATATTGTTTTTTAAAAACTTTTTTCGTAGATTTCAAGTGTTACTTAAATATCAACTGGTTGGGTAAATGTTGTTGTTTTGGGGGTCGTTGACGGTCTGAATTTTAAAAAGTTTCTTGCTTGGTGCTAACCACAGTGGCACCTTGCGAGGCTGTAAGAGAGCATGACCAAACATTTTGCTAGCTACCACTGAAGGAAAGTAAATTTCTTATTTATTGATTAAATTTTCGACTCTGTCTTGTTCAACCACTTAAACTTACAATTTTTATTTAGGGAAGGTATATGGTTTGTTGGGCTTCAAAATATGATGAATTAAGTCTTTAATTTTGAATAATAACTTATATATGTGTAGAAATAACTGTATTATTGAACTCCTCGTGTGTTGTAGAGGTAATAAGTGTTTCTATAACTTATATATATGTAGTAATAACTGTAGTATTGAACTCCTCGTGTGTTGTAGAGGTAATAAGTGTTACTATAACTTATATATATGTAGTAATAACTGTAGTATTGTACTCCTCATGTGTTGTAGAGGTAATAAGTGTTTCTATAACCTTTACATATGTAGTAATAACTGTAGTATTGTACTCCTCATGTGTTGTAGAGGTAATAAGTGTTTCTATAACCTTTACATATGTAGTAATAACTGTAGTATTGTACTCCTCATGTGTTGTAGAGGTAAAAGTGTTTCTATAACCTTTACATATGTAGTAATAACTGTAGTATTGTACTCCTCATGTGTTGTAGAGGTAATAAGTGTTTCTATAACCTTTACATATGTAGTAATAACTCTAGTATTGAACTCCTCATGTGTTGTAGAGGTAATAAGAGTTTCTATAACCTTTACATATGTAGTAATAACTGTAGTATTGAACTCCTCATGTGTTGTAGAGGTAATGTTACTATAACCTTTATATATGTGTAGTAATGTGACTGATCCCAATTGAAAATAAATTTTCATCAATAACATTCACAATTCAAGACAGCCACTGTTATTGTTTTAAATATAAAATTATTATAAAGAAATCAACCCAACATTGCCCGAAATTCTGTACAATTTGTTTTATTTTAGTAAGTAATCACTCCAGATGAGTGTCAAGCAACATCTGTATGATTTACAAGTGTGAAGAAATGTAAAGTTTTTATCACAGAACTTGTTGAAAATTCATTACTTCGAAGTCTTATGATTATTGGCAAGAGACAGGATAAAAGTAAGTTGTAATTTTCATCAACATAAATATATTGTTTTTATCAAAGAAATGAAATTGTGTCCAAAGAAAACACGATTTATATAGTTGATATTTTGATTGTGAAACACACTTTTTTCAGTTTTGACACAAATCTATTTTCAGCCATTTGTGATCGCGAAGCTCAGCTATTTTGTTTCGCCTGTATTAAAGTGATAACCATCATCTGACTATGGAAAGATGTTTGGCTAATTTTTCTGATTTCGAGCGGACACTTTATCAAATTACACCATGAAAATATTGGAAACCATTGATATTTTTACGATCGATATTCCTTCATTAAAATTTCTTAAGACAAGTAACAAGTTCTGCATAAAAACAGAAGACGCGTCGTTGTTTGAGAGCGACAGCGTTTCGATGTTGGATTAAACTATAATTTCCTGAAAGACGTGATACATTAATGGACCTTCGTCTTTCGGACAAGAAAAATAAGAAAATGGTAGTTTTTTCTCCATTTTGCAAAAAGTTTAGAATAAATGTAGGATGTTGCAGGAAATTGGGGATTGGGACATCAATGAAAACCGGTTTTTAAACAGGTTTCCTGGTTTTTTCGCATGTCATTTATGGCCCACAATCCTTTTCGCACCCTCTGGTATAAAGCTATGTGATGTCATCAATTCATCGTCATTTGCGATTGACTTGCTTTGTGCACAGATTCGTACTACTAAAAAAAGTGAAAATTACTTCATTAGCGAACTAAAATATATTGCAATGGATAATGTTCAATTAAACGACATCTTTCTTTACGAAGAAACTTCATTAAAAGTTGTTGAACAACTTGTGGCCACTGGTCATTACGGATCAGCGAAGAATATGGAAGAAATTTTGGACATTGCAAAAAAAAGGGCCTCTATTGCAAAACGTCGTATTGAACTACTCGAAAGATCATTTTACGACCAGAGTGCAGGTACTCTCCAAAATATCTTTTAATTTTTGGGAAAATTTTTTTTTCGTGGTAGTAAAAAATTTTTTTTGTTTATTTTGGTTGCTAAGAAACTTGGATACTTTAGCCGAGATAATTAATTTGTTGCCACGCTACGCGCGCATCACATTTGATCATTGATTGGGAAAATTATAATTGGCTTGTTGCTATGCAACGACTTCATGAGACCCAAGATTGCGACCATCGAATTAGATCAAGTGAGGCGGGATTGAGCGAGATTAGTTGATGTGGATTATGCATAATTTGCGTTAATTTATGCATATTGTCAGTGTTGCTAGGTTACAATAAAACAATTATTGAGAATTGAAATTCAAAACTTTAAATGACAGATTTGAATGTTCAAAGAGTTATTTCAAATCAAAACAAAAAACAAAATCTTTAAAAACGTGGGGAAGAGGACGGCCAATTATTGTGTGAAAAAAATATTCATGGATGATTTGAGATTTTCAATTCAAAGATCATTCGCTTGCACACACGGCGAAAAATATCGATGTTCGTCTTTATGGCGAAAAACATTTTCAATAAAAATTAAAGATTTTCTTCGCTCAATGAAAAGATTTTGAAAACGGGAATTTGCTCACTTTTTCTCATTTTCTTTTCTTTTAGAAGTTGAATATTTAGCATTATGCTGTGAAGACTTTGGCGTTGGAACAACTGTTGACGAAAGTTCAGTTAAAGTTGAACAAAATGAAGCAACAGCAGTCAACAAGTCCATTGAAGAAACCACGGCTGTCATTCAACATCAAGTGACTGAAAACGCCATTTCAATCGTGTATGATGAAATAGTTGCGGAATTTGTTGATGAAATAGTTGCGGAAGTTGTTGATGAAATGGTAAAGCAGGTTGAGTTGGTCAATATTGCATTGAAGGACTTTGCTGAGAACTCGGTTGTGCTTGGTGATGATGATGATGATGAGCCAGATCAACTTACTGTTGGTGGTGGAGACATTCAAACACAAACAGTTGATGGTGGTGAGCAGATTTTCCAAGCTCAGCATCCTGTTGATGATGGTAAAATCACCAAAGACTTATTTATTCAAGTTGTTTGTGAAATCAAAAGACGTATCTACTCTAGCTGTTGGTGAAATCACTGAAGACTTACCTACTCAAGTTGTTTGTGAAATCACCAAAGACTTACCTACTCAAGCTGATGGTGATATCACCGAAGACTTACCTACTCAAGTTGATGTTGAAATCACCAAAGACTTACCTACTCAAGTTGTTGGTGAAATCACCAAAGACTTACCTACTCAAGTTGATGTTGAAATCACCAAAGACTTACCTACTCAAGTTGATGTTGAAATCACCAAAGACTTACCTGCTCAAATTGTTGGTGAAATCACTGAAGACTTACCTACTCAAGTTGTTGATGAAATCACCATAGACTTACCTACTCAAGTTGATGTTGAAATCACTGAAGACTTACCTACTCAATTAGATGGTGATATCACCAAAGACTTACCTACTCAAGTTGATGGTGAAATCACTGAAGACTTACCTACTCAAGTTGTTGGTGAAATCACCGAAGACTTACCTACTCAAGTTGATAACGAAATCAGCAAAGACTTACCAACTACTATTGTTAGTGAAATCACAAAAGACCCAAGTACTGTTGGTGATAACGAGATTATTCAAGCCCATCTTACTCTAGATGATGCTGACCAAGGTGAATGCCTAATTAAAAGTGATCTTCTATTTAATGTTCATGATAAGCATTCAAAATCCACCTCAGTTGATGATTCTGCTCAAGAAATCAAAATTAATCAGATATATTCCAAAGAGGATAATTGTCACCATAGCATCAGAAGTGAAAATCTGAACGAAAATGTTACTGAATCACTTAATGAAAATCTTTCACTGACAACACCACCAAATGGCAGAAAGTTGAAGAAAAGAAGGGGATTTTTTAGAAGATTATTTTTTTGCTGTTTCAAGAGTAATGAAACAAGCGACTAAAAATTCATAGATGAACAATATTATATATATATATTCTTGTAAATAGTGAGTAAATCAAATATAATAAAAGTTTTTACGTAAGATTGTAAATATGTAATTAATGAAATAAATAAAATTATTTATATACGATATTGTAGTTGTTTGTTTGTTTGAAAACTTGGAGTCTCAAGCCACAACAAAACACGTCTGATGATGATTATGAAATAAAGCGTTGCTTTGAGAGAACTAGGTTCGAATTAAGAAAACTAGCTGTCGTTAGATTATAATTTTCAAAAACAAAACAAAATAATTTCTTAAGGAAAGCAGTGACGTAGCTAGCGATCATGCTGGTCCAGTGAACTCGACATTTGAATAACTGGAATGATAACCGAAGCCAAAAATTGAAGCCAAAAAAATATTTGTTGTCATCATTCGTCATCACACGTCAGGCTCTAGTCCTCGCGTGTTCATTTTAATTTTTTTAAATCATTTGTCCTTTGGTAATGGTAGAGTTCGGATCTTGATCAGAGCGTAAAAATAACGAAATTTTTGGAATGAAAAGGTTCACGGAAAGTGAATCAAAGTGATAAATCGAGAAGCAAGATGAGGTGAACTTAGTCGATCTGCTCTTACGCTGCGGTTTTCCTTTAAAACATATCAAAGTCTTTAAGGATATTCAATTGTTGATATCGAGATGACAACCATTTAGTATTTCAAGTTTCAAGCACTATCAAAATCGATGAAAAATACAATCGCTCTGTAAAAGTAAAATGCGAGTTATAGACTCAATATTTTTATGAAACTGGATATTCAAGTTTCTTTTTATTCGGAAAAACAGATCTTTAAATCCACTTAAATGACAAAAAAGACAAACACTGTCTGACACCGTTTGAAAGTTTACTTTCCGACGAAAGAAAAATTTATGCTTGAATATTTTCTCGTCATATTTTCTATTGTATTGTCTTTTAGCAAACAGTGTAATTTTCAGTTGGCTTTTCCTCGTTACAAGTTGTAAGTTACAACGAACTCACTGTAGTAAAGTTTCAGCTGTAAAAATAACCTTTGCGAGGAGTTGGCCTCGTGTGTTGTTTGTCGTGATGTTGTTTATATGTTTATGCTTTTGCAATTTGTATTCAAATTTATATTGGCCGTGTATGTTTGGCACTCAGGGAATGAAACTGACGTACAAACCGCGTGAATAATCTACTTTGAAGGACTGGAATTGACGTACAAACCGCGCGAGAGACTAGGACTTTGGCTTCAATTTTATATCTATAAAATGTATTGTCGTTATCATTCCAGATATATATATATATATGGAGTTCACTGTGCTGGTCATGCCAATGAACTCTAATACACATATGTGTACAATTTTTCATATCAACGGCCTCGATGGCTTTAGAATTACTTTTCAACAATAGCTGAGCGAATTCAATATACGTGACCAGTAAAGAATCAAAGCAATGATTATCTCGCTAAGTTCCAAGCAATTACTAAACAAACGCCCACTGATCAATTTCTTTGCATATATTTATTCAACCGGCAACCGTTGAAGACTAAACCACAGGAACTTCCCATAAATAGCCAGTATAACAATCGTTACCAGCGGACAATTTGGCTTGACAATCACATTAAAATAAAGTCGAAATACTGCTAATAAATTTTTATCCCTCGAATCTTGAGTTTGCAAGATGTTTTTGAGTATGTTTTCTATTATATAGCATAAGTAATTTATGTTTTTTTCTAATACTCGACAATAATCACACAGCTATAGTTTTCTACTGATCTGAAAACTTTCATCTATTTACGACTCATTGGGCTGTTTACGCAAACTGATTTCTTAAAAAAGTGCAACTAAAATCAAATGGTGAATCGCAAAGACAACCAAAAAGGGCAAGAAAAAATGTTCCAGGTCAGTTTCATCAATTTGTAGGACGAAGACCGACTATGAACAGGCATGTCTTTTGAAAGTAAACAACCTCGTTAAAGACAGACATTCAACATGAAATCTATGAAAAAATTACACAATCTTCGAGAAGGAACGTTCAATGGGTAATGGTGCAAATACTTGCGTTATGAGTCACAGGAATAGCAAGAAGATTCGTCAGTGAATGAGGAACAAGGAAAATGTCGGCAAATCACTTATTTATGAAGTTCATCATCAAGAAAGACTGAGTTGAAACAACAGGTCAACATCATGTCTACGAATACAATACACTCACACTACTAAAATACCGAGAAAGCGGACTTTGACCTTGAACGACTCCCTGTGAAAAGATCTTGTTCGCTTGCTAAAGCACATCTTCAGCAAGACGTGAAGATGTTGTCCAAGAATGTATACTTACTTAGGAATTTGACTTTTCTGCCTGGACAAAGTTCTCTTTAAATACTTTTTTATCATCTTAAGTTCCATGTTTGTCTGTCGAGCCTCTTTTAACTCTCTCTTTAACAGCCTTGTCGTCCGTCTGCTACATTTTCTCTTAAGTATACGCTTACATGCAAGGAATCCTTCCGTCTTGTGGTAATAATCAAGAAGAAGGCACATCATAAGGCAAAAAAATAGCATATTCTTGGAATTCATTTTCTGAATCAACTCTGTTTATCAAACGATATCTTCTACCCAAAGTCAGCGGTCGTTCAACACTTTGCAGATAGCGTTTGTTTCGTATCCACAGAAGCGACTGGTGACGACTGCTTCAAGTCGCGCTTTTAAAGGCGCAGCTTGTCGCACATGTCCAATTAACCTTTACACAACCCATCGTTCTCATTGGCTGAATTCCAAAATCCGTGATAATGGGAGTTGCGTCTCGCGTTCGATTGCGTGGGGCGAAGGGCATTTTGCTTTATCGACTATATATATTTAGTGGCCTTATCAAAAGCCGCAAAGCACTTAAACACACTGAAATCTTCTCAGCTAAACTTGGTATTTAAAGAACATTAGGTGACGTTTGTCGTTTGGCAAACAAACAATTCAACATTCTTGCGAATGTCGTGTACGAAAAGCATTCAGCCGCACAAATGGAAATGTAGACAGTTCATAACACATAGGAAGAAACGCATTTTCTATAAGATTTAGGTTTTGGTTTGGGCGTCAAATGCGACTTATATTCAATGCGGAAGATGAAACAACACTATGGCGTAGTCGTACTGGGGGGCAGCTTATTCGCTATTGTCAAGAACAAGCAAAGCCAACGAAGTCTCGTTGACAACAGAAACAAAGCTGACAATGAAATTTCAATGCTAAGGAAAAGCTTGGTTTGCGTATTGTGTGATTGACAGTGACCTGCCCAATTATTTAATTGATGATTTTGTGCTGTAGAAGATGGAAGTGACTAGATTGAAACTTAATAGCTTTGTTTTCAAAAGTGAAGCTAACACCTGTTTATGTTTCGAAAAAAACGGGTCCCCGTCTTTTTGGTAACACGATTTTCTCTCGATCGTAATCTATAATAGAAGTGGTGACACGCAAGCAAAACACTCCCTCAAATAAAGTGCATTCTCAACTTCCCCCTCACACCGCAAACGGAAAAATCTTCCAAAATTCATCACCAAAATACCACACGATTAACTTATATAGCAACAAACCAGCTGTTCGTGAAATATCGAGAGATATCAGTTTCCATACGGAAAGCTTAAACAATCATAGGTTTAAAAAGCTTACTTGGTTTCAATTATCCATTGTATGAATGCTCCCAACACATGAGGAGATAATTAAAAAATAATGGACAATTAGGACTAACAGATTTCCGATAATCGTCAACCACCCAGGACACAATCGTCCACGAATGAAGAGATCGGTTGATTTTGAGGAGAATAGATCAAAATCTATTCTAACTTTGAGTGAAGATTGCCCAATGAGCCATACCAAAAAATTTACGCAAAACATATTTCAAATGATATATTTAAGAGGAAAGATTGGAAGACTAGCACTACAAACACTTAAGGGCTCAACAAGATAAATAATCCGTGAATTCTTCATGCCTTTGCTGCTATCACTTTGGATCATTACGTTCTAAAGTATAAAAGCTTGTCTTTGTGTCTTATATTTCATGTATTTCGTGCAAAGTGAAAGGTAAACAAACAATAAAATAGTACAAATATATCGTACATAAATTCATTTGGTGATAAGATAAAATCGAAATATTTTCCGCGATGTAGCCATAAATGTAGCATACAAAAGTGTTGTCGTAAATACACTTTGAACAAGGGCCTGCACTCGTACGTTATGGTCAAAGCTTGTTGACACATAGCGGAACAAACGATTCATCCCGTAAACATCGAAGTTCCCAGCAACTTTAACCGCTACTGTGATAGTCATCACGTTGGCTAAAAC